GGGTTGCGATCCGTTGCCGGGCACGAAAAAAGACAAAAAGGAAAAAAAAAAAAAAAAGAAAGAAATTAACTAACTTACTTTTGGATATGGCATGTGTTTTTTCTTTAACAGCAATGAGGTAGCCAACATTCATCAAATGCAATAAATGTTATTCAAAAATGGTTTTCTTTAAATAGTATACTTATCAGCCATACCATCAGAAAATCCATTGTTCACTTCCTGGGGAATTAAAAGTCTTTTAGCTTGGAGAAGTATAATAAAAGTTTGAGACAGAGACAAACTTAATACTTTTCAAAGACTGTGTTTATGTTGTTTACGTAGTTCAGGAGAATTCCTAAGGAATCAAGAATATAATTGCCTAACTTTTTGTTATTGGTTTCCATTTTTTATATCTCAGTTGTCAAATTCAGTCTGTGGTTCATTCCCAGTTCCTCTTTCTCTCCAGGTGAATCACATTGTTTTTGAAAACTATCATCAGTTGTTATGCTTGGAAGGAAACTTTTCGCAGAAGATCTTGAAAGTAGCTGCTTGTGACCCAATAAAGCCATATCAAAAGTGGAAATTTGAAAAATATTATGAAGCTTGAAGAGGAACTGATGTTTTTATTTAGTGAACTCATTAGATACTGTGAAAGTAACTGCAAACTTGGTGACTGTATTTCTCAGTGGTAGTTTAAATTTTCAATTTTAATAGCATTTGAATGGAAGATTTTTTTAAGTCACAATATTTGAAATACCAAAAGATAACTCAGGGAAACAGTCCAACATCAGCCTGGAGTCGTTCTTCGGCATTGGGTGGTCTTTTGATTGCTCGATTCTGTGCTGGAACTCATTTTGCAAGTTTCCCAATCAAGCTAACACCAGAAATGAAGACAGGAGTACTTGGGGAAGCACAATGATACTCCTGATGACTGTGTTTGATAATAATCAGCTCTCTTGACACACAAGTACACATAATCAATCAGAACTTGGTCCTTTGTTTGCTATTTTTTTTTTCAAACAAAAACTGCTTGAGTTCCTATGGCTAGAAGACCTCAGATGCCTGTAGCTATCGCTGTGGTGAAATCCCTCCAGACTACATGCATGTTTACCTAATAGTCTGAAATCATATTAATGACCCTACTTGATGGTACGGTTTTGATCTAGATTATTGCATAATTTTTTATCCCAATCTGAGTCAGTGAAAAAATTTTTAAATGAGGAAGAAGAGTCCTTCGAATGCTTATTTAATTCTAGACATAGACATTGTTCTAGCTCATTTTGTGCTTTTAAAACTGCACTTAAAAATGATTATGCCAATAACTTTCTAGACTTATGTGGATATTAAAACAAAGGCAAAGAAAAAGAGGCATGATACACCATAGGAACCAAAAATGCATTTAATCAGGGCCGGCCCGTGGCTCACCCGGGAGCGTGCGGTGCTGATAACACCAAGGCCACGGGTTCGGATCCCATATAGGGATGGCCGGTTAGCTCACTGGCTGAGCCTGGTGCTGACAACACCAAGTCAAGGGTTAAGATCCCCTTACCGGTCATCTTTAAAAAAAAAACAAAAAAACTGCATTTAATCATTGAACACACTCTAATGCAGAACTAAAAGAGAGGAGTTGAAATGAATAAAGCAGAAACAAAGC